GGGTAAACAACTTGCAGCAGGTTCCCAGGTTCCAGAAAGATGGAAGCAAAGTCAAAGCTTCTATTTTATCAACTCTTATTTTATTCATTTATAAATACTGTTGTGTTTACAAGCATCATAGATGTGAATAGTTTTCCCAAACTTTCAAACACATAATACTTATAATACTATATAACAACAACCAGTAAAACAAATCATTCATCTCAGGGTTTGAAAGGCCACTCAAAAGTTGCATAAAAATACATTCTCTCCCCATCTCATAAGCTAGTCCTGCTTCTCCAAGGAGTTTATTTACAAAGAGCCATCATCAAACTCGCACACACAATAGGCGGGGTCACCCCAAGCAATTGCTTAGAAAAAAAAAAAAAAAAAATCCAACTCGTGTTCTCCAGCGGAGACCACGTCCAGCAAATGCTCTGGTTCAAAGAGGGATCAGTTTTAAAAACCACTTGCTTTGCGCTCTGTCCCAAGCGCAGGGTGCAAGGCGTCCTATTCGTTACCTCCTCAGTGCACTGGGTATGTCAGGCATTAAGTGAGACCAAAAAAAATTCATTCTCAAGAATTTGGTTTGCAGTTGCAATCGCCATCCCAAAATACTCACAGCTTTGGCTAGTCAGCGAGACGGAACTGTTGGTGGGTCCTCTACCCTAGTCAGAGTTCGGGGGGGTAATCCAGTGCTAAGCAGACACGTCATCTGAAGTGGTTTGGCTTTGCAAGGTGCCACGCAGAGGGATTAAGCCTTCCGCACCTTTTGCATACTGTTCCTCAGGATAAAACACAACGAGTGTCCTGGTAGGAAGGGGCAAAAACGTCAGTGCAGGATGGATTTGTCAGATTGGGTTGAACCCTCTCCCTAAAACAGATACCAGGCTTCTTCACGCTGCTGGGAACCTGCCTCGTGAGAAGAACAGGATCTGAAATCTCGTCCCTCGACCTGCTGGGATGCACAACCCGAGACGGGCGCGTCGGCGAGCCAGCGCTGCGCCAACCACCAGCGGCCCCAGCAGGTGAACAGCTTCTGCTCCGCGGGGCACAGCAGGGACTGGGCTCCTGGTTAGAGCTGAGAGCGCCCGAGTCTGGAGCGAGGAGTGGGTCACCAAGAGAAAAAACATCAAGAACCGCAGAAGTACTCACATAAAGAGTGCACCAAGTGGGAATGGCGTGCAGAAAAAGTATTGACTGAATCTCAAGACTTAAAGCTGTTAAATATAGCAGGGTTAAAATAAAGTAATATAAAAAGGATGCCTGGCTTAGGCAGTGCTCTGCAGAAACCCTGATGCCGTTACTAGCTTTGGTCTCTTCCTCCCCAAAGCACAGCAGCAGAGGAAGGGCCTCGGCGTACCAGGAGAAACGGCATCTCGTGCTGCGCACAAGTAACTCCGCTGGCGGAAGAGTGGTGGAAGAGGAACCTCTGTCTAGAGCTGCCTGGGGAAAAAACAACAGCTCGAAGAAGAGCTAGAGAGGTGGAAACAGGCAGGATAGGGAGGGGAAGGGCAAAAAAAGGAGAATTGGGGAAAAAAAAAGCAAACCCAAAGCAAAGAAAAAAAGCCCAAGGGAGAGGAAAATAAAACACACTTTCTGAAGCAATAACCAGCAAAAGGTTCCAAAAAGCCCAGGATGGACTGAGAGAGAGAAACTTCACCCTGTTGAGCAAGCTCAAGAATTATGCTCGTGTTCAAGTATCTCATCTATCTCTCTCATAGCGGAAAGAGTCCCACCAGCCCGGCAGGAGCCACGAGCCCACAGTCAGCAGAGGTGCCTGGGAAGGCGGGGACAACTTCTTCATGGCAACCTCCAAGTTCAATGACTGAGACCGCAACTCTCAGCCAGACGGAGCAGGGAAATCGAAGGAGAAAGGAAATGAAAGGACAAATATAGAAGGATGTAGATGGGAAAGTGGTTTGGATACAGTGAGAAGTCTTTGAGAGGGAAGGTATCGGTCGAGAGGAGTCTATTCAGGGGAAGCTCAACAGATCTGATGACAGGATACCGCTGCTATCATCAAAATCACAGAGCACATAGAGGAGCCGCTGTCTAAATGCCCATAGAGAGAACAATTTCAAACTGTTCTGAGTACGTATAACATTAAAGAGGGGTGGTTTTGGTTTTTTTTGAGGTTTCCTTCAAGGTCAAGGCTTATTGCAAGCTTTTGACAGATTAAAAGACTTTCATCCTAGCGTTACAGTCACCAGCATGCCCAAGGGTAGCTCCTTGTCCCTCAGACACCGATGCACCCACACCTTTCCAAGGCACACGGGAGAAAAGTGGTCACTGCTTCGTGTTCCTCTGCCTTGAAACCCAACTGCATCAAGGTTCTTCACCAACAGATGGGTGGGTGGGACTGGACTCTGGCGGTCCTTCTCCTACAACAAACCAGTGATGCCTTTCACTTCTCAGCCTCCTGTCGTAAATCAGAGCAAGGCACCTGAAATACCAGACCAGACTCCTCTGCAGGGCACTGCCTTCATGAAGATAGCAGGAAAACGTCCCAGATGGCTGTTAGGACGGGGAGGCTGGTTTTTGGGGTGGGCACAGTGCCCTGCAAGGTGATTCACACTCATACGCATGTGAAAGCAGCAGAGCCTCTCTAGGGGTTCAAGCTTGTCCTTGAGAAAGCTTGGCAAGTATCTGTGATACATCCTATCCGGAGGAGCAAGAGTCCAGATGCAATTAGCAGATGCTACTAACTACTGAGACAGGAGCCCCGGAAGGATACGATGCGATACCAAATCACTCGGGCTGCGGAGGAAGGGCAGGGTGAGGGCTAAGGGGGTCTGACGCCGAGAGTCAGCGCTGATGTTACTGAACGGGTTCAAAATCTTCTATTAAAGACTTGGTCTACTGGGGCGAAAGGAGAAGGTCTCTGTGCAAAGCAGCTGTCGACAGCCTGGTATACAAATCAGCCCCGGTGGCTTTCACAGCATCACGTTTTAACCAGAGTCCCACATCTCGGGTGGGCTGATGTGCAGAGTCCCAGCCCGTGTTTATGTTTCCCACCTGTAAAGGGCTTGGATGTGCTGGATTAGTTCTTTAGGTGTCGTTTTTTAAAGTAGGAGCTACCTACTCCAGATCGGAATCCAACACCAAATACTGGGCTTCTGGAAGAAGAAGTTTTGGCAGCTCAAACCCAGTCCTCACGTTTCTCTTCTCCCTTGAATAAAATGTCCGAGATACCACAACATGCTTAAATTAAAAATAATAAAATGGCAGGGGGTGTGTGTCGTAGGGGAAATAAGGGCAGAAAGGGAATGTACAGCAAAGGGCAGGGCAAGGCAGGTGTGACAGATTGATCCCATGGCTGAAATGTTTGCTGTACTTTTGACAGGAGGAAAAGAGGGGGGTAGGGCTTGGTGCGGGGTTGGCCGCTCGTGTTGGGCACCCCTCTTCGTCCTGCCGTTGCTCGGGCTTCCTATTTGGAGAGCTTGCTGATGACACGAATGAGGGCTCCGTTCTCGTCCTTCAGCCTTTGGTTGTCCGACTTCAGCTCTGTCAAAATCTGCAGAGAGACAAAGACAAGGTGGGATCGCAGCTCGGCGCTGCCGGCTGGACAAGCCCTACAGCGTGGAGGGAACCGCAGGGACGTGGCATCCCTGCGCCAGGGCAGCAGCTGCATGCTCGGCTTGTGTCCTCACCGCTGATGTGCCACAGCAGCGTGCAGAGCTTTCCCTCCTGTACACCGCCCACCCGGCGCACTTTTAATGTCAATAATTTCTCTGCAACGTCTCCAGGATTTTTACAAACCGGGCATCAGGTGTGGAGGGGTCGAGAGGGGACTCGAGCATGGCGAAGAGCCAGGGACCCCCCTGGCACTGGGAAAGCCCATGGTGAAAAGCGATGCTGCAGCCCCAGCACTAGGTCAGGACCAGGCTGGGAGGGCAGGAACCATTTCTGAGCTTTTTCATCCCAAATCTGTTCCCTGAGGCTATACAGGGCTCGGCAGAAAACCATAAAGCTGTTGTTTTTTGGTTTTTTTTTCTGATTTGTTTGCTCCGTTTTGCCAGGACTGGAGGGGAAAACAAAGGTTTGAAATTCTAACTCAGAACTGGACCAAGCCTGGCTTGCAAAATCTCTTTAGAATAACCCCAAATCTCTTTGGGATCTCATAGAAGTTTAATGCAAATGTGCATGCCATGGCCAGAGGACTGGTAGAATACACTGACGCTGCAGATGATACCTCCTCGGTGCTCAATTTTGAATGCTGGAGCTCAACCAAGGGTCACAACACAGACAACAGCCAGAAAGCGTTTTGATAGAAGCAGAGGAAGAAATCGCTTCGACAAGATCTTTCCAGCATTTCTCAGTGGCAAAAAGCCCTCCTGCAGGCGGGTGACCCTCGGTGGGCTGTCCCCAGCCGTTCGGGGGCTGGAAGGACATGCTGCCGTCCCGGGCTGTGACCCACAACCTGTAATCGCACCGGGGTGCCAGCAGCCCCACAACCTGCTGGGATGAGCCAGGCTGGAGCAGGGGCCCACACAGGCATGGACGGCACCGGCGTGAGCTCAGCGATGACTTCTCTCTGCTGAGGTGCGTCTTCGAGGAGTTCTCCCAAATTCAAAATCCCCTTCTCCTTCCTCCTGAGCTGGAGTTCCAGCCCTGAGCAGAACCTCCTGCCCCTTCCTCTCACGCACAGCCCCTCCACGACCACCGCTGCCACCAGCTCCAGCTCCGAGTGGCTCCCATGGCTCCAGCCGGAGCAATTCCCTCCTTTCCCAGCCAGGCCAAGCCATGCCCGGCCCCAACGCGCCCAACCCCATCCCTGCTGGCGCTGGATGCTCCAGACGGGAGGTTTTGCAAGAGAGAGGGGAGGGGGACGGTTGCAGCATGGCGGGACACTGGGGAAAGGGTAAAACTGCGCGATGGGCTGGCCGGAGTTTCGCTAGTGATGCTTGAAGTGTCTCACCAGACCCAGTGGTGGTGCGACAGGGACGTCCCCGTGACAGGGCTGTTACCAGAACAGAAGTCAGGACTCCTTAACGCAATTTCTCGCAGCCAAACGAGAGGCATCGCCCATCACCAAAGTGCTCTGGAGCCCAGAGAAAGGGGGGACAGCACTTGCCGCCTCACTCTGCACACCTCCGTCTCCTCATCGAACACCCACAACAGAGCGCAGTGCCTTCCCGTCCCGTGCACTGCGACACTTCAACCACCTACTGGGGTCTGCAGACGGACAGTCCCTGTCCTCTCTACGTCACTGCTTGGGGTGGCCTTGCAGCCTTGAACGTGTCCGTCACCATGGTAAGGTAGTGCTATGAAGTTCTGCCACTTGCTTTGGTAGAGAAAATCTGTCACAAGTTCCCAGAAGCAACATCAGAGAGCAACCATCGCGGGCCTACAGCGTACTGGGAGCTCTGACGGTGCCTTCGCCTCACACGCGTTCGAATGCAACCGTGGTGAATTATTCGAAAAGGAAGGAGTGTAAGTACGTGTAAAGCGAGTGCTCCTTGGAAAGGCTCCCGGCTGTAACCCCACTCCATCAGTTCCCACTGAAGTTTCTGAAAACTAAAAATCAACCTTATAAAATTTTGTTCCTCCCAGGCCAAGGGCATTCCTCCCGTCAAAGCAAAGCAGCCTTGAGCTGGGGAAAAGAAACTGCAGATGAAGCAGGCTAGTAACGCCGGGGCTGGAAACTGGAGCTTTATAAATGTCTCACTGGAAATGGCGAGGGGGGACACGGCACAGTCTGCACGGGATGGTGATGCAGCGTCAGTGTGGAGCGAGTCTGGGGCCGGAGGTTGGTCCCCGCGGCGGTGCTATGTGGTACCTGTGAGGTTGGGGAAGGTGGCACCTCAGAAATTACGTGGGTTTTAGAAAATGAGTTCTTTGAAAAGCACCACTGCTGCAAAGGCCCGGTAAATCTGTCAGAGTTTAAAGCAGTGACATCACTGCATAGCTGTGATGTCTACAGACCCCAGTGAGACAACGTTTACAGGTTCCAGCAACATCCTGTGTTAGACCTACTGAAAGAGCTGAAAAAAACCAATCAGCAGAGCTTGCAGACACGCGACTTCTCCAGCTCGGACAGCGGCAAAGCCTGCAAGCAAGCCGGGAAGGATGAGTCCACCCATGCCGCAGCCAGCCTGCACGAGAGCCAGGGCGCCGTCAGAGCAGAGGGGCGTTAGCGGGGGGAAAGCGAAAATGCGAATATTTCCTTGGAGAAGAAGAGAGATCGGTGACTTACAGTTGGTGAAACAACATTTCTCTGAGTCTGGAACTAGTTTTGCTCAATTTTCCCTCTCAGATCTCAAAGCACGTCGGGAAGGAGAATGACTTAAACTCACCGCTTGGGCGAAGGGACGAGTTGGTGACGGGTTGGAGAATGCTTCCGCAGGTTTAAACCAGACAGACGGGGAGATCATTTAACCTGACCGTCTGCACGTTTCAGGCCAGGCAACACGGAACAGCCCCTCTGACACGCGCACGGTCTTGAGCTGAGACTCCCGGAAAGGGGAAGCCACGATTCCCCTGGTTAGTTTGTTTTGATGGTTAATCATCCTTGATACAATGTGTGTGCTAAGAACAGATTTTATTTTTTTTTTTATACCTCAGTGCCACTTCCAGCCCACGAGAGCGGACTGCTTCTTCCTTTTTTTAAAAAACAATAGCTACATCTGAAGGGATCTGAATATCCCTACCAACCTGCAAAAGACAGGTAGGGCCCTAAGAAAGGAGCATTTACAGTTTTATTTTAGCACCAAACCAATGACGTAGCAAGAAAGGATGTGATTGAACTGCATGAGGGCAAAGCTTATGGGAGGCTTGTCCCTGGATTTCAAACACTAATTGCTCTGCGCTGAATTTAAAACAGGAGATGAAAGAAGAAAGCGCGTATGGTCGGCCTCCGAGCACTTCGCCTGCCTCGTAGCCAGGGCGCAGGAGGCAGAGGGGACGCTGCAGCCTGTGAGCTCGGACTTGAAAACTGAACTCAGACTCCTTAAAATGAAGGACGGAGCTTGTTCTCTTTGCTCAAGTGACCAAGAAAACCTGCTGAGGACTGCCCGGTTGTAGGTTTTCTAAATATCACTTTCCTGTCTAAAATGTGCACTTTTCATAACATCCCTAGAAATTTATTAGATGTTCATTCTGCCTTCGGATAATCTCATTTTCTGGGTGCCAGCTTCCCACTGAACTAAGTCCCATTAAAAAAGAATTGTGTTATGAGCAGACAGGCAGCATAAACCACCCACCTCGAGGTAAGGCAATGCGGACGGGGCTGCTGGCTGCCCCAGTGGCGCTGGGAAGCCGCCCCAAAGCCATCTGCCAGCGTAAAGCTGCAGGGAAGCAGCTGGTCCATTGCCCCTCAGCACCATCCGCCCAGCCCTACGCCCTCGCGTCAAGGCGCGGAGCACGTCCTCCTGCTTCTCTCCCGCACGACAGGTTCCGCGCGGACAAGGCAACCCCCCTCCACCCCTGCCTCCGGCCCCGATGCGGGCGGTTAGTAAAACGGCGAGGTCAGAGCATCATCCGCCAAGCAGAGCGAAAGTCAGCGGGATCGAACAGAGTCTTCAGCGAAAGCCTGCCTTCGGCCGGGCAGTAACGCCATGCCTTTGGCTTCCGGAGAATCCTTCGCCACATGCTGCTTTTGAGCCGCAAGCTTCACCAGCCACCCTCGAGAGCAACGAGGTGAGGGGGAACAGCCCGGCCAAGGGAGCGGAGACCTGCCTGGAAGAGTGGAGGAGGGAGGCGAGATGAGCCGGAGGGAAAGCGGCTACAGCTCCTCTGATTCGGAGGGCTTGGCAGGCAGAGAAAGTCTGGCTACGACCCGGGTCAGAGCCCTGTTTTCAGCCAGCAGCTGCTCATTCATCTGCCTCAGAGTGTGAATCTGTTTGAGCTGGTGGAGATTCTGCAGAGAGCGAGAGGAGTGGACAGAAAAATACAGAGAAAACACACCACGAAGACAAAAGGGCACAGAAACGTGAATTCAGTCCACGAGCAGTAAAAGAAAGAAAGAATAAAAGAAATATTAGTAGCAGTGACTGGTGGATGGGCAGCAGCTCAGATGCGTATGGGGAAAGCCTCACAGCACACGGAGCATGTTTTGGGAACCATCCCTTTCTCCAGCAGCCCCCAAAGCCATTGAAAAGGTCAAATAAAGGGATTTCCCACCACACAGCAGGACAGTCTCTCGCAGGTTATATTCCAGTTTACCCAGACAGGGAGCTCCAACAGCACATGGCCCCTGGACTGAGGAACTACTGCGAGAACTATCACCGACTTACCACCTACGCAGGCTTTGAAAACACCACTGGCAACCGTGAATTTCTCTAAAAATCCTTTTCTTCCTCTGTCTCTAAAAGCTAAAGCAGTCTTGCGTAGCCAAGAGCCATCAAAGCTTCACGGGAGCGACTGAAGCACCTGGAAGTGTCCCTGTCCCACAGCCAACACCAAGACACGCACCGCGCCTGCTCGCATCCCTCGTCCCTGCGGCACCTGAAGGACGGCTCTCGGGTCCGCTCAGCCTTCGGTCCTGCCAAAAGCCCTGGGGCGCGAGTGGATTTTTCATCCCTGCCCAGATTCAAGTCTGCTCTGTCACGGGGCTCAATTCGTCTCTGATCTCCAGAGGTGAGAAGTCAGAACCTTAAACTGCTCTTTTTAACTAGAGGAGTTTGAACGACAGCATCTTACACGGAAGGCACGGGAAAACGTGGCATTCTTGGTTACAAAAGAAACAAGTGCCAAAGGACGGTGCAGAAATCGAGCCCCACCGCTGAGGCTAGCACAGGTACAGTGGCAACGGGGAGACACAGAACATAAAAGCAATGAGGAAGGCAAAAACGGGAAAATGGTAAAAGCCATGCAGACATCACCGTTTCTACAAGGACATTTTTTCCCAGGGATGCTAAAGCGAAACCACGTGCTGGACATTTATACCAAGTGCGGGTGCCAGGACACGCTGAAGGCAGGGTCCCGTCCCTCCTTCCCCCCAACAGCTCGTCAGGCAGCGAGGCCACATGAACGTGAAACCCTCCTCCATGGTGGAGGGAGCACAGACACCGGGCAGGAAGGGAAACATCTGCGAGAAGAGTAGCTTTAAGTTCAAATGAAAAAATCCCAGCCCAGAACCAAAGCAGCTCTGCAAACCATCGTGCCCTGCGTCCTCTGACTTGCGAGCTTGCAATGGCAGGGAGGAGATGGAGGGAAGGGTCTGCTGGGAAGGGGATTCCTTTCTGCCATTTAATCAGCAGAAAGCACTCAAAGGGAGGTCACTGTCTGCCCTTTGCGTGGGCAAATCTACTGTGATACAAAGGACTTGCATGAATTTCCACCTAATTTGCACGACGTGGCGCTGCCTGCAGCTGGCGAGGAACCTGCTGCGTCCCAGGACACTTTGCCCAAGGGCCCGTTCCTGTACAAAGAAGAAGTACTTCGTGTAGCCCCCAGCCAGCAGCTTCATTCTTAGCTACCCAAAAGCATTGCCTCTGCTCCCAAGTAAGGAATCAAGATGTCTCATCCAAAAGCCTTGCAAAACCAACGGAAGCAAGGCAGGTGAGCGCAGGGAGCCAGCCAAGGATGGGCTTTGAGCCCCTCTGAGGGCATCGAACTGACAAAGCAGCTCCTGCTATTTTGACTACGCCAACGCAATTCCGACACTGGATAAATCAGTAGGTCCTGAGACAGAGCTACGGCCAACAAACTGCAGGGGGGCTTCAGGGACACCTCGGCACTGAGATCCCCCCTTGCCCGATCTCAGCCATCTATCCATCACTTAACCCGCCCGAGCTGTGCTGGCTCCCCCCGGTGCTCGGTGAGGACAGAGGTGGCCATCACACGTCTGTCCTGTGCTAAATCACACCCAGGAGCCACCGGAGGATGGTTCATCCTGGAAAAGTCGTTTCTTTTGGTGCTACCATGGATGATAAACGTTCTCTGTTTTATCACAGGGAACACAGATGAGCATCTGGCTGGCAGAAAACATCAAACACGTCAAACAGGGTGCCGTGCTACGCGAGATGGAAACGATTGTGATCATTTTAGAGACCACCTTTATTTTTCCATATGAATATAGCACGAAACCTCAGCGTGGCACAACTGGATGCAGCTCAGCCTCAGCACGCCGCCACAGCCGATAAAAAGGATCACGTACGTAAAAATGTGTGCGTGCTGCAGGCAGGACAGCCTTCTATTTATCCAAGAAACCCAGGAAAGGCCAGGAAGCTGGGACCAAAGCCAAGGGCGAAGACCAGAATTTGGACGGTACCGCTGCGATTGCTTATCACTCTGCTTGATACTTGGCTTACCGAAAGCAGGTTTCTCAGTTCAGCTGTACCTACCTTCAATTAAAGGATTTTGTGCCTGCAATGCTAGGGGAAATAACAATGCCCAAAGCACACACAACGTACAAAACCAGGAGGTGCAGTGCTGCTACGGAATAAAGAAGCTTCTGTGACCTTCAAGAAAAATTGCTGCGTTAAGTTGGGACCTCAGGCACTTGGCACTGAATTCAGTTCAGCGCAAATGCTAATTTTCTTTCTCCTTCCTCAGCCAAGTTGCCGTATCTCCAGTCCAATCCTGCAGTCACTTAGGAGAACGCCGCACCGCTCTGTCACCTTCACAAGAGCAGTTCTGCGGGAGCAGCTCCGGCACCAAGGAGTTCTTGAGATTACCGAGTTTGTCCAGTTCCTCTCCATTTCTTGATTGCTTCGTTAGCAGCGCTAAACTCACGAAAGGAATGAAGCTCATTACCTCAAGCAAAGCCCGAAGCACAAAGCGTTCCTGTCACAGAAACCCAGGACCATCCTGTGACCACTGCTGTGCCTCCTCTCCCTTGGGACTCAGCTGCCCTGGCCAGGACACCCGATGCACAGAACCGACACCCCAGGACCACAAAGCTGGATGTGAGCCGTGCCGGACTGGGTCACCTCAAAGAAGGAAGAATCCCGAACCCAGCGGTATTACCCGCAACCTCATAACCCGGCGTGTTTGGCTGTTTGCCCTTGCCGCTCTCTGCGTTCAAGGAAACTGGTGGATTTGCTTAAGTCGCTTACTCCTTCTGATTCCGCTCGACAACATGCGCAAGAAGCAGGAATGAAAGTCTAACCAGAATTAATAGATCTGTGTTCCTGGCTCGACTAGGGGTTAACTCAGATGCTCTGCGGCAGTTATCGCATTCCAGGCAAACACAACCGGGCTGACTCTCCCACTTTAAGGCTTGCTGAAAGCGGAGGTGGAAGGTGCTTGTCCAGTTCAGCGTTTTTACCTTCAGAGATTTTATACTCCTTTTGACTGAGTGGCTCTCCAATAGGCATGTCACAGTGCACCCAGGTACTCGCCACACGCTTGAATATTTTTCAAAAACTAATGGAAACGTAGTAGCACCTTAGAAGAGGTATCTTCTAATTCCATGTCTATTTATTAACTAAAGGCCACTTTGGTTGTTCAATGCAGCAGGAACACAGCAGAGAGGAAAGAGGCCTCGAGGACCTGACAGCTCATTTTCAGCTGGTCCACCGGCTCCTTTAGCTCACGTCTCCAGCACCTCTCTGGGGACAACGTAAGAACATGTCAAACTTCTGGCAGTGCTTCTCCTTTTGCACCATCTTGGCTTCCATCAGTCAGCAGCTCCAGACCGCCTGAATGGGAGGCGCTTTGGCTGCGTCCTACAGTTCTTGCGGGCACCTTCTTTCATTAACCGCCTTCTGCACCAATATAAATGTTTCAAACCCGACAGGCCACTAGAGGACACCAATTTGTCTTTTTACTCCATGGACGGAGCTGGTCTGCGGAGCGATCTGCACAGCTGAAGAAACGCCACAAACTGCTACTGTCTGCACTTCCTCTCGAAGGCCATATCTCTGTCGCTACAGGAAAGTCTCTCTGGAGTTAAAGGTCACTATCTGTTCAGTGAACGAAGAATTTGGAATTTCGGCACAGTCAGTCCTTTCTCCTTCCCCTTCTGGCGAGCACATCCCCACTTCTGTCCTCCTCTGCGAAGGAACCAGAGAGCCTTTGCAGTAAGACTCCACCAATTCCTTCTGCAGCACAAGCCAACGGGTCCTTTCAAAGACGTATGCTCGGTAAAGATAAGAAGCTTTAAATAGAAACATAAAGTTGGAACCTCCTACGGGGTGGCAGAAAATTGTTTCCATCAGTGCACCCTGCCGGGAGAGCTCACGGCTCTCAGACGGGGTCCTTCCTTCTAACGTGGCTTGGTCCCACCTGCGTCATGCTCAAAGGGAACGAAAGCGCAGGGCACAGAGCAAAGGGGGGGCGTTCTGTGAATACGAGCATTAAAACACAGCGTAAAATGATGTAACACTGCAAAAATCGGTGAAGTTTTAGGTGTACTTAGGCGGCAAAACACACTGCTTCCTGCTCTGCAGTGCTCCCCGCTCGCCCCGTGCTTGCAGGGCATCCAAGCCGCGGCAGGAGAACCATCCTTCGAAGCAATGCCACAAGAGAGAGAACGCGAAGGAGCAGTCGGTGGCGGATGTCTCGTGACAGTAAGCCATGCTGCACATTTCATCAGGAAGCAAATTCCTCTTTGCTGAAATCTATTCCAGGCTGACTTACTGCCACAGCCTCCCAGAACATGCTTTAGGAAGGGAGGACAGAAATACAATCACTCTGTGTTTTTTCCTGGCTAGCGTGCGTGATCTCAAAAGCCAGCTTTGTCTTCTTACCCATCCGGAGAGAACCACAATGGCTTAACTTGGGCTGCAGACTACTCAGAGCACAGAGGATCAGCACACTGAAACTCATCGATGCCACAAAAGGTTAGTTTTGGAAAGCGATTAAGGAGAACAGCTTTCACAGTTCTCGGATCAAACAGCGTAACAAATTAAACATATGGTGCAATCAGCTGAATGATAATAGGACAGTTTCATTAGTAGTTCATGTTTGGAGAACATGGCCATTACAGTTCTGACTGCATAAAGGAACACGCTCAGAGGTAACACAAGTCCCTTCCCATGTACACCTTGAGTATCCTACAATCCCAGGAGACATTAATTCAAAGCATAAACCCCAGAACAGACAGAGGGAATAGATTATTTCCTACCTTCATCTCCTCTTCCATTTCAGAGAGTTTCCGCTCCAGGGCTCGCTTCTCCTGTTTACAAGGATTCATAACAAAGATGGTCATGGAAAGAAAGAAAAACTTACAGTATACATTTTCTTTTAAAGAAAAACAAGAGCCTCGTATTTCTGGAGAAGCATTCACTGAGAAGCATCTCAAAGCAATGCACAGGTTACAACTAGGAGCTGATCGGACAGGAGAGGGCAGCTGGTAAACCAGCAGGAGAAATGTGCTGGGCTCGTTTCGGCAGATCCTGAGCTCTCTTCATGCCCCTTCCATGAAACTATCTGCCCACCTTTCGTGATCCTGGTTTTCAGGACTTTCTGATGTGATTTTGAGCTCTGTAGGTGAAGCCACAGATTTAACTGCACCCCACTAAAGGAGGCAACGAGAAAACTCACCGAGCCCATCAAATAGGAAACAGTGAACACGGAAAGGAAATTCTGGAAGTTCTGCTTCTCCCAGATTAATTTAGGGCTGACTGCTTTCGGTATATTTTGGAAACCGACAATTACACAGGTCGGCTCTGCCACGTGAGTACTGGTGGTGCCATGAGCTACAGCCCCTGTCTAGAGGGGAGATCTGGCTCCATCCATGACTTCAAGAGGAGAAGGCTCAAACTGTCCCAGGAAAGCGGACTGAGCAGGAGGAGAAGGCAAACGTGGGTCAGGAACAGGCTTTACACCCTCTGCCCCGTTCCTTCGCCCTCTGCAAAGAAACATGAGTTCAGGAAAGTGAGGAAAACACAGCTTTTTGCGTGTGGCTGTGGATGATGGGTTCTGGGTCAATTTTTGTCCACAACACACTTCATCCAAGCGTGTGGCTGTGGATGATGGGTTCTGGGTCACTTTTTGTCCACAACACACTTCATCCAGGGATTTGTCAGTGCAAAATCCGTAAGCCATCCTGGAAACAGTTAATGCCATCTTTACTGAGAACAGTCGGGCACTTTTTTTCTCTCCGTCTCTCAGAAACCTGTATTTGTGGCTGTCGTGATCCTAATTCAACAAAAGCGATGCAGGACATTGCCCCAACTTGGAAGCATCGCACGGGTGGGAGATGGGACGCGCGGCGTGAGCTCCATGGTTGGGGATGTCCGCTCAGGGCAAGCGCTCTGACCATCACGCTCTTTTTTTTTTTCCCCTAAATTAAAGCTCCACCCGTGTCATGACTTCCCCCAGCAGCTATGTTCAGATGACAGCCACGGTTGCACATTTGATAACCCCGCTGCTTTAAGCACGCCTAGGTATCAGGTCCACACAGATCAGTGCTTTGAGAAGCTCGGTGTCAGGGCGCAGGCTGGTGCAGCGATGCGCAGCTGAGCTCACACCGCGGTGTCACGGCCTGAGCATCAGCTCAGCTTCAGCGACCTTGGTAAGTTCAACGAAGCCTGGCACCTGCGCCAGTGGGAACATCGCACCCTCGTCCCGAGGGCTGCCGGGCTCTGCCTAACCCTGCCCAAAGTGGGGATCCTGAACATCACCTCCTCCACGCTGTTGCTGGCCAATCTCGGGAAGCAATTACACATAAATAATTAAGGTCTTTCATGGTAAGAACTAAACGTAAACGCGTGGTTTGACCACCCAGCAAAGCTGCTAAAAATTCAGGAGATGAAACACTTCAGGAGGAACCTCCGCTTGAGGTGACCCTCCAACGCGCGAGTGGATGTTACTGAGAAACTGGAGCCAGGCCCCAGCTTTAATTAACCACCGAGGTAGTGGTGGGAGAATGAGCAGTAACGGCCATCAGCTGAAGCAGGGGAGGTTCTGCCTAGATGTAAGGGAAAACAAAAAAAATACCCAAACAAATCCCTGTGAGGGTAGTTCTTCACTGGAAGAAGGGGCTGCAGCTGAGGAAAGTCAACACTCAGAGGTCTTCACGAAATGACAGGGGACAAGCCCTGACTAAGCTGGTTGGCTCTGCTGGGACACACTACAGATCTCCTCGGGTCCCTTCCGATCGGACCGCAGCTATGGCCACCCAAGGCAGAGTTAGCCAGCCGCTGCCCGTGCAGCTTAGCTTACTGCGATGAATCGGACTGCTCAGTTGAGGCAGGAGCATTCAAACGTGCAGATTTCAAGTATAATCACAAAACAGACACCCAGGTAGTGTTTTGCCTTCTTCCCACCACCCCCCCCAAACCAGTATTTATTTATAAGGATCAAGAATATTTGAATGCATAATGGACCAACAGTCTCTTGGCACGATACGATTCATTGGTCTGCAGCTATAACGAAAGAAAGAAATCAGAATGAAGCTGATTTGCAAAGAGAGCAGAAAAGTCTCAGACTCTGAAAAGGTCAGAACACAATTATCACTGTGCGCTGCTCCACAAGGCAAAAATATAACTTATCTTTTAATTAACACTTTCCTTCAAGAAATTACTGTGCCTTGCAGAGCAACATGAGGCAGAGATTGCGGCTCAGAAGAAAGTAAAGACACATACCCTTTTCTCCATCTCCAGCATGCTGGACCGGTCAGAAGTTTTCTCCTGTTTCTGCTATGTAAATTAAAAATAGAAAGCTATTAAAACTGAGAGGCATTCACAGGATGCTGCACAAAGGGCTAGATAGCCTGCGGATGCACTTGCCCGGAGAAGCAGCAGTCTTTACAGAACCACACTTATATCTGTGAAAAATCACAGTCTCCTCTGCAGCACCTCCCCTCCCAAGGGCTAAATTCTTTCCGGTGCTGGAACCTGCACTGGCTTGGCATGGGCCGGTGCTCAGTTTCTCCAGCCTAGGAGAGGGCTTTTGCCTTACCTGGGCTGCTTTTTCCAACTTGGATTTGATGTCGGCCAACTCAAGCTGGGCTTCTTGCAGTTTTGACTTTAGCTTTTGATTTTCAGACAGGGCGCTTTCATATAACTGAAATACGAAACAAAAGGTTTCCATTAACCAGGCTGCTCTTCGGCTGCCGCGCTACCCCGAGCAGACGCGTGTCCCCGGCACCGAGCAGAGGCAGCTGCGGGGTTTGCTCCGCTCCCCCGCGTCAGGATGTTAGAAAAAGGGCAAACAGAACTAGCCTGGATGCTCTACTTGCGTTTTCATAATTCATACGAAATAAGAACACAGCTGTTTAATTTTGTAGGGTGTTTAAACGCAGCCAAGAGGCAAAGGAATGTTTTTAATTTAGGTAAACCACCAAGCATAATAAAGTACCAAGTTACGTATGCTGGATGTATCTGAACCTGGGATCCTGTGGTGCTCCCCATCACCACAGCCCCTAGCTGCTCACGTGCTTTTAGTTTGAAGAGGAGGAGAAAGGAGGACAACGTCAGGCCACTCCAAAACGGGTTTTTTCCTTTCACTTCCTTCAGACAAGCAGAATTTCCACCCCTCTAAGAGGACAAACTGGGCATAGTGCCTGCCTCTTCTGGCCAGACGCGTTCGTGAGGAAGAGTGGGGTGCCGCTGCCGCACGAGGCTTTTCAGCATCGCACTCATTTCAGAATTAAGGTCACTTTCGCCTCTTTACTCCTCACACACCTTTGCACCGACACCGGATGCGCGTGGCAGTCCATGTTGCTGCCTTTCAAGGATCAGGTTGAAAGTTTCAGAGAGTATAGAAAAAAGAATTCTGGAATGTTACAGCAGCAGAACCAATTTGGTGGGGACAGGCACGCTTAGGCCATGCTGGCATGCTCAACGGCAGCTTTTCTCGCTCCTTTCAAATCCCTCCCAGCATTTCTCCAGCCCGACTCCTTGATCCCCCTCTCCCAGATATCTGGCTTTGCATGGCGTCCTTTCGCCCCTTGTCCCTTTTCCAACCCTCTGAAGGGCTGACACATTTGAAAAAGGCTGGTGTGACTTCCAAAAGCAACGGAAACAGAGAAAATGAAAATAAACTTTTTCTCTTTCTTCCCAAAGACTCTCAGCGCAGGTTTCTGCAGCAACAGCCAGCTTCTAAGGAGCATGCAGTGACAATAATACATTTAAAAAAAATCCTACTTTTTTATAGTCCCTGTTACTCTCCTCTTCTGCTCTGCTGCTGAGGGCGGCTAGCCGGTTCTCCCTCCGGGCGTAGGCGCTGGAGCGGCTGTCGATCGCGGTAGGAGTCACCGGCGGCGGGGTTCGTAGCCGCTTCCAACCTAAAACATGATGAAGATGTAGCACCGCGGAGCCGCTGTGACTTTGGGACGGCCAGGATGAGCCCGAGCGGTTGGGACTCGACGCCGTGGCAGAGCCGGCGCCGGGACGGCTGGGAGCACCCTCTGCCCCGCGGGAGGGCATCGCTGCCGAAGGCCAGGCTGCCACCCCCGTTTGTAAACTGGGAAAAAATCCAATGGGAATCAGCCCAAACGGGCTGTAATTTCCCAAGGACCTCTGATCTCCATGGTGGGAATGGGCACAGAGGGGTTCTTCCTCTCTGCAGAGAAGCTGTTAAAGAATTTGGGGAGCCAAGGATAAAAGTAAACCACCCCGACAGCTGAGCAAAGGTAAGGACCAAATGGCCAGTACCAGCTTCAGCTCACGCTTTTGATTTGAATCACAGGGAATCCCCAAAGCCATATAAAAACATGTTGTCAAGAAATATTAAATAGAAAAAAACTCCAAAAAATAAAATTCTTACCTGGAAAGTCTTTCATGCTAAACGAAAAAAAAAAAAAAGAAAGAAAGAAAGAAAAAGGGAGTTAATAATGAGAATTAAAGGTTCAATTCAAGAACTGCAGAGCTACCACGCAGCAGCAATTCCCTACCTCTGACAGCAGCACCTAGCTCACAACAAGCTGAAGAGCGTTATTTCCCATGCCCAAACTGGGAACCACTGATCCCTGCCCAAATCTTTTCAACTACTTCAGCTTCCCTTAAGCATGTCAGATTTCATTTCTCTTGCTAACCTAAAAACTACTGAACCCTGTTCTTCAAATCCTAGTTTCCAGAACTGAAATCCATTCCTTTGAACCAAATCTAATCTATTGTTTCCCATTTTTACTCAAATTATTCTTCCTGACTTTGATCACTGCCCTATGCATGATGTGCGTGAGAGGGATTAGTGGACCACGACACGCAGAGCTCACTGCGTATTTATGTCGAACCTCAGGAAATCACAAATGGTACTTTTTCTCCACGGGCGAGCACGTCCCCCATGAAGAAGAGCCTCACTGCTTCACAACGGAAGCTGCCTGAGGAAAGGAGAGGTGCCCTGCACCAGCCGAAAGGCTGGACGTGTTAGTTGAAGGATGCATTAGGTTCTTCTTTCCTCATCACCATCCAAATCTCTGCGGTGCCGTCCTTAACGCTGCAGCCCACCGGCGCGCAGAAACCAAAGATGATCTGGGCCAACCAAGGCATGGAGCAGGCTGCAGAAAAGTTTTGCTTGGCATTGTAATATCCTACGGGGGCTGGTTGTGGTAAACCACCATTTTTAATAAAGTTTTCTGGATCAGACAGTTCTTTCCTACAATTGCAGAAATCAAATGGTAACGGCACAGGTGTCCCGCAGGATACACCACACTGACCTGCCCCATCCTCCTCCACAGGGTTTCTCTTTGTCTGGCAAATGTGTACTCAAAGTCAAGGCGCGGTCGAACTCTTTTCCAGTCCCTTGCGCTGAATTGCACTGAGCCCGGTATCCCCCTGCTCGTTTTATGAGCAGCGTCATTTCTCTGAGCGAGCACAAAGCACCTGCAGGCGCTTCCAGTTATTTCCCTAAATCCTTCTTGATAGCTGCAGGAGTCAACGCAAGAAGGACATCACAGAGAAGACGAGACAGGCTTTTAGTGCCCAGACATGTTCGTGTTGGAGCTTGGGCCACCTAGAAACACCAGGAAACGTAGTGCCTCACACCTTGCCGGGCGGCAGATATGCTGCCTGCCACCCCGGCTGCAGAAGACTTCGGAGCTCCTGCTCCCGCCCGGCACCCGGACGGTGCCTCTGATCGCTGGGCAGGTATCAGGGAGCACACCACGCCGTGGGCAGCTGGCTTAAGTCACCCCGTTACATGGAGAAGGAGGGGAGACAAGCGACCCTGCCATCTCGCCGCTCAAAGCCAGAGGAACAGAGGGGCAAGTCCCAGAGCAGCAGAGACTGCGCCCAGCCTGGCCGCAACGCTGCCCTCCGCTCGCCAGGACGCAGGCGCCTGCCTACATGTTCCCTACACCCAATTCAAGACAGGAGCGTCCCCAAGGAATCTGCAATCCCCATCGCTCTGCAACACAGCCCTCCAACGCGAGACGTGGCGATTTGACCAATAAACAAGAAACAAACTGAAGAATCCCGGCATATGGACTACACATTCAGCCAAAGCTGCTGAACGCAAAGCTCAGAAGGACGAGCGAGCCCTGCTATTGACTCGCAGGTTTTCCCTAGAGCTGTGCTTGCAGGGCTGCCCTCAGCCGGGCTCCTGGGGCAGGTCCGGGTGCCAGCCCCGTGCTGTAGAGATGGTCAACAAAGCTCCAGAAACCTTTCCTGGTGCCAGCATGGCTCCTGAGCCACGGCAGCGGGTCTGGCCCCATGTGATTTTATTTGCTCTAACCCCTTCTCCATGCACCAAAAGCTCGCTTTGCATCATACAGGCAAGAAACCACCCAACGGAGACAGCAGACGGTGTTCCACCATGGCCAAGCCCCGCTGCGCTTCCACAAGCGATGCTGGATGCTGCTCGGGAAGCTTCTCATGGGGCCAAATGCCCGGCTTGTCCAAACAGCCGTGGCTTGGGCCACTCTCCGTAGGACACTCAAAGCCAGGAACCTGGGAAGCGGTTTCCGTACGGCCAGCCCCTGGCATGGGGCTATCATCAGAAAGATTTCCCGTTTTCAGCCACAAACACGTTGGCTGATGTCTCCACGGTCTTTTGTTAGCCGAGCTTCCGACATTTGCCTCTTAAAACCCTCAGCTGCCTGACAGCTCCCTTTTAATTTTGGCCCAATGACCCAACCTCCCCTATTGAGCGGGAGAGGGGAATTACGAAGTGATTAACAAGCCTCTTGGTGAAAGTTATTTGTGCGCTTTATGCTAATCCCCTTCAGGGAGGACTTTTCCTACGATGACAAATGGCTAGGTAAGTAATCCACTTAATATCAAGCTTGCATTTATTTCAACAAACGCACCTGCTAATGTATTTGAACAGCGCTGAGAAAGTCCACACGCGGCTGGGCAAGGCAACGTGGAAACCAAGCAATAAAACCTGAGCAGGTCCCCAGCCCAGCCTGGGCGCCCGCAGCAGAAGGGGAAAAGCATTTTTATGGGTTTGTTTTTTTTTTTTTTGCCTCCAAAGAAACTAATGCTTTCCATAGGTAGAGAGAACAGGGGTGTGCTTCCGCAAAGGAAGGGTGGGATAAGAAAAGCACACGCAGGCAACTCTGCGCCATAAAATGACCCAGCGTCCTGCAGAAACAGGATGGAGCTACGGGAAATCTCCACATTCACAGCTGGTGGGAAAGCCGGCGTCTTTCCCTCGCCCCTTCCATTTTTGGGTGCCTCTCTCCACGTTGTTTCTGTTAAAAGTGGTATTTTTGAGACCAAGATGACTGAGCTTGGGAGGAACTGGATAAAGGCTGAGGTCTGGACAGCACAGCCTGAGCGAGACGTTGCGGCAGGTGTTTGGTCCCCCTGCCATAATGAAAACTGCAAAACGGTTTTCATCAGCAGATCAGTCTTCTACTTGCTGCTACCTTCAGAGAAGGAAGAAAGATTTATATAATTTGTTTTAAATCAATTTCTGGCTCAATATGTTCCTGGGTTTTGCATGAAGGACAGTGTTTACGCTGATAGTTCAAGGAGCAGCTTATTCAGGTGTTTGGGTTTTGGTTTTGTTTTTTTTTTAATAATAACGGAGGAGGGGAAAGAATACTGGGGGGAAAAAAAAGTTGCACTTTGCACCTTCAAAAAAAGGCTTCAACTAAAAGAGGTGACATGGGAAAGAGCAGTTCTTAGCACAAAGAGAGGCTTCGAAGCCCGAGGAAGCGAATTATACAAAACGATGACTTAAAATCTTGCCCTGCGGAGGTGGCGGTGCCGCGCAGGAGGGATCTGAGAGGGGAAGCGTGAGCCCTACGTGCAAACGTTGGACTGAGACATCCCTGCTACGTGCACACAGACAGACAAACGTTTTCAGCAGAAAACAGCTTCTTTCCGGCTCAGTCCTGCCCTGCTTTTGGCCATAGCGCCCTTGGAAACCTTTGCCAGGTGCTTCCAGCTGCGGCGTCAGCTCCCAACGCCTCTCCTCCGCTTGGTGCCCCTTTTTTTAAAACAATCGCAAAAATCCTCATTTCAACTTCTGCGGCGTTAGCTGGCTCATTGCACTGCGTGTGCAAGTAGTAAAGAAGGTTGTACGTGCTCGGAGATGCCGTCCCAGAGCTGGAAACTCTGAGGTCAGAGGCAGAAGGTGAAGGACAAAACTCTCCCTCCTTCATTTCTGGACAGAGAAGCAAATGGAGGGAAACAAGAGCTGCAGCACCAAATGTGCACTGATTGACCAAGCTGGTGCAAGAATGGGCTTTCCCTCCAGATTTTTTTCTTGAATGAATACCGTGCAATCTCTTAAGGTTCAAAAGGGGATGCTGAGAAACCACTGTATCAACTGTACGAATGCACTGGATTTTTTTTTTTTCTCCTTCCCCTGGCAAATCTGGAACGGCACCGTCAGTTTTGCACAGACTCCTTCATTTCCCTTGGGATCAAAAGTTTGCCTAGAAACATTAACAGCCAGGGAAGCATCAAGGGTTGTGAAATTATCCTTTCTGCAATCTAAACAGGGTCACACCGCCGCAGGGTTTGGGGCGGGGGGAGGAGGACCCCAGGGAAAAGCGAGACGGCTGTCCTGGTTCAGAAACCAGCACGGCAGTCAGCACTGAGCCGAGCCCCGGCACTCCTGCTAAAGAGCGCCGAGACCCCCAAGGAGACGACTTTTAGAGGGAAACTTAAAAGCACAGAGCACTTGCAGGCGTGCTGCCCAGTTTCTGGTAATCCTTAGCTGTTAGGCCTCTCACCCGACAGATCGCATCGTCTTTCCTCCCGTCCATCTCGCCACGGGCAGTGCATTCAGGTAGCGCCAGGGGAGGGTGTGGGGGGGTGGAGGACAGCCGAGGGCATCGGGTCCTTTTCCAGCCCTCCTGGATGGGGTCGGAGATGACTCGACCCAGACGGGCTGGCAAAACGCAGGATGTGCGAGATGGGACCTGAGAAAAACTGCAAAGGGCACCGTACCGCAGCGATTGTCCTGCGCAAGCCGCTTTCCGCTGAGCCCCCCCGTTCTCGCTGGGCTGCCACGGGTCAATCCCAAGGAAAAGGCAGAGGGAGGTACCGGCCACGGCTCTGCTCGCCCGGAGTGCCGGGATACTGCACAGCGCCAGGAACGCCGTACGGTTTTCATTAGAGCAATGTGCTCGGACTGCGGAGGGCAGGAGCCTTCCCTTAAAAACTCAGAAACTTTTACAGCTGTTAGGGGTTCAGTAAAGTATAATTAAAACCAAATTCCTTGTGGAAGGTTTAGATAAAATGCAGCCCTGAAACGCGGTGCCAAAAGGGGGATCGGCCACTGCTCTTGCCAAGTCAGAAATTGGCCTAATTGCTTCCAATTGCGTTCTTCTGCGGCTGGGATCTGACCCAGCAAAGGCAGAAAAAGTCTACTATTTACATTGTTTCAA